TTTTTTTTTTTTTTTTTTTTTTTTTTTTTTTCAGAATATTTTAGTTCCACGGTGTTTGATGCTCTCTCCTTATGGTTGAGTTTGGGGTTTAGCAGTTGGTGGTTTAAGCTGAGACAATGCAGCTTCGGATTATTCCCCATTAATTTTACATTGTTTACCCAAACTTTGAGGTTTTTCAGAACGCTGTACTTGTTGCATTGTTTACCGCAACCTTCATTATTTGTTCGTCAAGTGCTCGAGATCCCAATTTCACTAAATCACTGGTGATAAAAACAAAGTAGTGTACATAAGTGGAAGAAAATCCTCATTTTATAAACCCATTTTTAAAGATTGAGCAAGGCGCAAACTCACATTCTAATCCCATATCAGAGTCTATTTTAACAATTTTCGTTGGCATATTGGGAGAACAAGATTTTTTATACATTTTCTTATTAAATTGTTTCTTTGGACCCCGTGTTGCTTATCGGACCTATATTTGTGTCTTTGTTAGAATACCTTTAACAATTTTGTTTTAGAGCTCTGCATGCTTACATTCACGTTGCATCATCCAAAATCTCATTAAACATTGAAATATTTGGTAACGTGATAAAGATAAATGTTTAGAAGTTGATTCTGGGATTTGATTTTGAGTTGAAGCTATTTAAGTGTGTTTGAATGAGCGTTTACAAAATTGATTTTTGTTTGGATGTTTTATTTTGAAAGCAAGTTATTAGTAAAACTTGTATAATTTTTTTTTATTCAACTTTTGAAGTTGCTTTCATTCAAAATCAATTAATGGCCCAAAATTAATTCCTCAATGTGCGATCAAACATGTGAACATTTAGCTAAAATTAAGAGAGCTGATATTTCAACATGATTTTGGATGAACTAACATGATTTTTCATGTCACAGCAGCATTTCCATACACACGGGCAGAGTAAAAAAATTCAAACATAAATCACTTAATTTCAAAATCAATTTTGAAAACATTCACCCATACACAATATATTTTGGTATTTTTTAATCTAGTCTGTGCACCTCCTTGAAATCCCACCAAAACCTTGTCCAGGCCTAGAAATGGGCTGCAACTCTGAATTTAGCAAATGAAGCTTTATATTTTAATACAGAACGTGCTATATTATTATGTTCAATCCATATATCTGTATTCGTGTGTCTCCTTGTCAGGTAATTTTAAATTGGGGAATTGGGGATGACACCAAATACCTGTGTGTGTTATCTTGATTGCAAACATCTCACAATGTGGTGCAGTTTTGAGATCCTCACCTTTTTAACTTCCATCATATGTGGTCATGTTTTATTCAATTCTCACTATTTTGGATAGTTTGTTTCTTAAGCCAAATTTTACAATATTATAATGATATTTTTTGGGTTATTTGGGTTCATTATGAATTCTAGTAGTTGCATTTGTGATTCTTTGTGCTTACTCTGAACATTTCAATCTTTATTCAAAATTTCAAATACATGTATTAGTCATCCAACTCCGACTTGGTGAATTTTCCTTGGCAATTCTTGACATATAAGAATGTCAATCTAACTCAGTTGACATTTTGCTTTAGTCTATATCTCTATAAGAAGCATTCCCTAATATCTTCAATCACCTTTTATTTCTCATTGCAGGAAGAGCGCTGGAAGACTTGAGAGGCTCTCTGTTTAATGAATTTCGTTCCTCTGAAGGTGCTAAACGTCAACAACAGCGTACATGTGGTCCAGCTGCAGCACTTTCCTTCAATTTTCTGGTTGCAGTTAGTATTATCTTCATGAACAAAATGGTTTGTTTACACTTTACCCTCTTTCCTTTCTGATTGTTTTGTGTTGAAATTTCAAATAACCATGATTTTAGGTCCTGATTTTCTTGGTCTTTTCTTTTTCATTTTTCCTTTCAGGTTCTCCAAACTGTTAAATTCAAATTCCCTATACTTCTCTCACTAATTCACTATGTAGTGAGCTGGCTCTTAATGGCTGTACTAAATGTGTTTTCTTTGCTTCCTGCATCTCCTTCCTCAAAATCAACTAAACTGTCTGCTTTATTTACTCTTGGATTTGTTATGTCTCTATCTACTGGTCTTGCTAATGTCAGCTTGAAGTATAATAGGTAACACAACTGTGATATTTTTATTTAAAGTATTTGTTTTGTACTCTGAGTTTAATATATATCTCTTCAGCATTGGTTTCTACCAGATGGCAAAGATTGCAGTAACACCTTCAATAGTTATGGCAGAATTTGTCTTGTACGGGAAGAAAGTTTCTTGGTCCAAGGTAATTGCATTCACTGTGGCTGGGTGTTTATATTCGATGGGAATACATAGGAGAATGTTACAAGACTTGTAGAAATAAGAGGGTTTATTGACTAATTGATATTTTGTCCGATGAACTCTTGTAAGCACATGTACTTTTAACCTAAAATGACATTACATCAGGTAGCTAATCCCACCCTTTCATTATGAAGTAGAGTGCTTGACCAGCCTATAAAGCATGTCTATTAACTATTGATTGCACTCCTGTGTTCTGACACCTCTAATGCTCCTATATGCTTGTGGAAGATAACTGAACGCTTTAAAGTAAATTCTCATAACATTATATGTGCTTCTGAGGTCCTATGAATGCAGCTCAAAATTGTAGTTGAAAAAAAAAGGTCTGGTCTCTATGACTATGGTTTTTGAGATTTATCATTATATAAAGTTTGGTGATCTTTAACGTCAAGCCAGTTGAGAAACATTGATTGAATTCTTTAGCCTATACTCTCTAGCCGTAATGATGTGTGTATTCTATATTTGAGAAATAAATGATGGGGCATCATCAGTAATATGCCAAAAATGGTTTCTCCTTAATTGACTATAACTGACTAAGATTTTAGAATTTTAATACTTATCTCGTTTTTTATTGAAAAACTTACTATAGGAGTTGAATTGAAACTTTACAGGCTTTAGCATTAACGGTGGTATCTATTGGTGTTGCTGTGGCAACAGTGACGGATCTGCAGTTCCATTTGTTTGGTGCCTGTGTAGCATTAGCATGGATTGTACCTAGTGCTGTGAACAAAATCCTCTGGTCCAGACTGCAGCAGCAAGAGAACTGGACTGCTTTGGCGTGAGTAATTTGTTCCTTATCCTAATCTCCTCCCAATTCTCGGTGCTGATTTCCATCACAAAATTTCTTTCTCCTTCTTGCCTTATTTGTGGATTGATCAACAGGTTGATGTGGAAAACAACACCAATTACTTTAATTTTTCTGGCTGCTATGTTACCCTGCTTAGACCCTCCAGGCGTACTTTCCTTTGACTGGAACTTCAGTAACACATTGGTGATACTCACATCAGCCATTCTTGGATTTTTGCTTCAGTGGTCTGGTGCTTTAGCGCTAGGGTAAGGACCATGCATTACTCTTTTTAATTGTTGAATATTTTGTCTGTGGAAAGACATCCAATTTCAGTTTTGGGTAGAATGGTTGGGAGACCATTTGTTCATTATTTAATTTTATCAATTTTAGTGTTAATTTACAAATAACCTGATCTCCAATGTACCAAACATTAAGAGGTCACTCTCAGTTTTTCTTACCTTCTTGTCATGATGTTACGGGTTACTTATTCTTGGGGTGTGAAGAATAATTCACAACTTCTGTTTCAAAGCTTAAATAATTAGTGTGAATATCTGGTTTGTTGTTGAGGAGGAAAAAACTTTATTTGTTCAGGTGACAGAGTTGAGTCAAGAAGCCTTTACTTGTGAATATAGTTTTCATTTCCCTTTCAACGATGAAGTTAAGGGTTCAAATCACTATTATTATGATTTATGGGTTACGTACATGGTTAATATTTACAATTTTTTTGTGCCATGAACTTGTTATAAATAGAATACAGCCTATATCTCTGTAGAGACTTAATAAGTTCAGTTTTAGCTAGATATTTCTCCAACTCACATTGTTCTAAATTCTTTGCAATATCAAAAATGTCAATGAACTAAGTTAGTCATAAAGTTGTAATGAGTGGTATGACACAATGACGTACAACTGATGAATTCTCTTACAATATTCTAAAACAATGACCCCCTATGTACTGAAATCACCAATGTGACAATGTAAATGTTCGTAGATATATCATTTATCAAAAATTGTAAATGTTTGTAGACATGTCATTTATTAAACAATGATCCCCTATGTACTAAGAATTCTCTTGTAGACATGTCAAAGTTTGATGGTTATGTGCTATGCTAATACTGATGGTACACTTTGCCAGATGCACAAGTAAACAAGTGTGAAAAGCTTGTTTATCTGTTTCTATATTACATTCAGAACATTGTGGAATACTTAGCTTTTGTTGTTGGTTAGTTTCTTCATGTATTTTTCCCTTGAAATTTACAGTGCTACATCTGCTGTCTCGCATGTGGTTCTCGGGCAGTTTAAGACATGCATTATCCTCTTAGGGAACTATTATCTCTTTGGATCCAATCCTGGCATTATCAGCATCTGTGGGGCATTTACAGCTATTTCTGGTATGTCTGTTTACACTTACCTTAATCTGAAGCAGCAAACAAACAAGATATATCCTCGACAGTCCTCCCTGCCAAAATCTAAACTAAGCAAAGAAAATGGAAGTGCCCATAACGGACATTACAGTGCTGAAAATGTATGACAAAATTCCAAATACTGCATTACATGAGATGATAATTAACCAAGCATTTTCCCTTTCCTTCTGTGATTTCTAGATTCCAATCTAACCATTTTGGTGCTGATAGTGTATGCTCAAATATAATATATTGTTAAAGCCATACTAGGATACAATGGTTGAATTACACATGGCAACTCCTGCTCGAGTTGGAACCCCATCTATTTGTAAATGTATGATTTGGTGGATTCGTATATGGAGTTACCATTTTCTCCGGCCTATGGAATAGGAGCCACTATTGCATTTTGTAATTGTCTCAGAAAACAGAATTTGCTACATCTCATCTAGGGGAAAGAGGGATCTTAATTTTATTTGTTGTAAGAATTATGGAATTATGTGGTCTTTATAATTTGAAGCACCTGATGATCACCATTTCATATATTTTTTTTTGGGTCTTGCAATCCAATGCCAATGCCGTTGAGAAATCAAGAATAGCAAGTTTTTCTTGTAAATCATGGAGAGAGTGTATATAAAAGCATTTCATTTTTTATTCTTTAACACCCTTACTACATTGATTAGCATTTGCCTCTTTTTTTTTTGGGAGAACAAATTACAAAATCTTCAATGATACATTCAATTTTTTCTTTTTGGTTGAGGTTTCTGGTAACATCTACTTGAGTGCCGATTCAGTGTAGTACGTAGTATTTTGAAAATGTTGCTAATATATTTTTAGTAAATTCTTTTTAAAATTTTATTATTATGATTTAATAGATTTGACATGAAAATTATCCGACAACTCAAAAAGAATATTGAAAAGAATGCTGGTAACATCCCTTTTCAGTAGAATGGGTTCTCTAAACCTTGGATTTATTTCTTTAAACCTTGGTTAATGGTTTTCGTCTTAATTGTTTTGTGATTAGTTAATGTTTGGAGTGGTGGAAGAGGATGTAATGGAAAATAGAATATATTAATATAATAATATTATGTTTTATTGTTTGGGTTGGTGAAATGAGGAGGAAATATGATAGAAACTATTGGAATATATTTCATTTTATTTTATTTTTTATCTTCATTTTTCTCTCTCAAAGAGATGGAATGGAAATTGTATTTCATTTCATTGGAGTATATAAACAATGAAATGGTAGTTTTATTTTATCATGTTTCTTTCTATCTCATTTAATATTATTTTATCTTATTTTCATCATTCTAAAAATAGCATAAGTGACGTTAATAGTGTGTAGGAGTAGGGGTGGGGAAAAAATCAAACTGAATTAGTGGTGAACTGAATTGAGTTACACTAAAAAATTGAGTTGAACTATTTGAAAATTGAGATATAAGAAATTGAATTATTTTTATGAATATGTAAAAATTAAATATGTTTGACATGTTTTTGTCAATGGATTAACTTGATAGTTTAATATCTTAAACTTTGAAAAAAGTGGCCTGAAAAAAATTGTTAATTTTACTGGACTTGTCAAGTTAATTGAGTTATGTTGGTCAACTAATTTTTAAGTTTGATTTTAAGTTTGAGATCATTGAGTTTGTCTAATTGAATTTTTTTATATATATGTTTTTCCTATGAAAAGCTTAAATAAAATAAAATAATAAAATAAAATTTGTAAATGTGTCTTATCTTGTCATTATCTACTTCAAAATATCTTAACAGTTTAATACACTTTAAATTGAAGTTTAATTTAAATTTTTAAAATGTAATTTAGTTCAACGAAATAAAGAAAATAACTATTCACATTAACTATTTTTAAGTTTAGTATAATTTTTTATAAGTTCAGTTTAATTTATTTTGTTCACTTCTATGTAGAAGTGGAATATAATTAAAAAAAATAAACCATCCATATGTAAAGATACATTAGAAAAACCTTACTTGAAAAAAAATTCTAAAGTTACATAAGAAAAATCTTATTTAAGACTAAATTTGAATTTATGTATCTCTGGTGAAATGCCATATCTTTTGCACGAGTCTTTTGATGATGGTTCTTAGTTTCTTACTCCCAGAGGAAAATCCTGGGTCAATATTTATGATCAGCTTTGGTCGAATGGTTACGATTTGTGCATCAGAGGAGTATAATATTTATAGTCAAATTTACCTACTCTATTTTATTTTTAAAAAAATATGAATTTAATCAATTCAACTGTTTAATTGAAAGTTTATATAAAATATTAATTTTACACATGTAAATTAAAGTTAATTGATATTTTATCACTTTTTTTTTTATTTTGATAGATAATATATTATTTAAAATGAGATATTGCTCGATAACATATTAACAAATATCTTGATATGCATTATCATAAAGATAATAATAAAATATTTAATTATTAATCGGTTAAATTTATGTTTTATAAGTTATTAAGTGATATAAACAAATATTTTTTCTATAACAATGTAAATGTAAATGTTTAACTCTTGGCGAATACAGGGCAATCTGTGTCTGCATTTTTTTTTATTGAAAGAAGAGGGAAAATAAAAATTAAATAATAAAATAATAAAATAAAGCAGTTTTAATTGATTAATTATTTTTTATTCAAAACATATTTGTCTTGTAAGAGTAACATAACTAATTAAGTTTCTTCGCTTTTACAATAAGTTAGGATATGAGATCAAATTCAATTTTTCTTATACTTATATTTTTTTTTCATGCAAACTTATCTTGGAAATGGGTAGATGATCTGGAGTTTAATTGAAAATTTTCAAAGAGATTGAAGATTGATAGTTGGAAGTTGACCTTATCCTTACATAGAGTCACGTTTTACTCTAAAATTTGAAGAAGAAAAAATTATTCAATACATGTTTGCACTTTCCTACTTGCTAGGACTAGGGATACAAATGGATAAACAAAATCTTTAGAAAGTTTGATGGTTAACTATAATATTAATTATCTTAATCTAAATCTTTTCTATAAAAAAAATAAAATTAATATTTTAACTTATACATTGTACATGCTAAATATTTCTTATGTATAACTTAAATTTATAATAAATTATATATACAAATAAATACTTTGTTTGTATATATAAATTATATTTAAAATTTATATAAATATACATTTTTAAATATAAATTATATGTTTTTTACAACATATAAATTATATTTTATTACAACATAATATAGTTCATTTCTTGATAATTTATTTTTTAAAATATTTAAATTTAATTCATAAATAATTATGATATACATATAAATAAAATGACATCCAAAATTTTTCCATCTATATGTAATCAAGAAAAATGTATGGAATATTTACTATATATATATATATATATATATATA